CATCTCTGTTGCATGCAAAATGATAATATGCACTGAATGATTTTCTATTTATTTATTTATGGCAGTGAATCCAAAATAAAAGTTTGTGTTTACATAATATATGTGGGTGCACTGTGTATAATTATTTTATAAATATAAATACACACACATATTTAAGAAAGATTTTCATGTATATAGATTTATATATACTTTATAAGATATATAAATATTTAATATATAAATAATTATAAAAAATATTAATATATAAATATTTTTTTTCTTAAATATACATGCATTTGTGTGTAGTATACACAGTGCACCCACATATATTATGTAAACACAAACTTTTATTTTGGATGTGATTAATCGCGATTAATCGTTTGACAGCCCTAATCTTGACATATAGCATATTAAATAGTAAATATTCAAGCAAAATAAAGTAAATATTCAAAATAGTAAATATTCAAGCACAATAAAGATAAGAGTATATCCTCAAAATAAATCTCTGTTGCATTTTACCCTGAATGCAAAAAGATAATATTATGGTACTAAAGGATTGTTCATTCAGTACCGCAATAAAAAAAAAATGCATTTGCAGTAATCCATTTTATTTACAGGGATGCATTACAGTAACAGCATAATTTAATTTTGCTGAGAAAAAAAATCAAAAACAAGCATGAATCACATTTACAGTAATGCACTTATAATTGTGTTAGAAATTCAGGAGGAATGTGCATTTTTTTTTTTTTTCAAAGCATTAATTATATATATACATATATATATACAGTATAGAGACACATACCATGTATTTTACATTGTGCATATAAAAAAGCATGGCTTGCATACATTTAAATGCATTGATCATTTTCAGTCTTTATTAATAATTTCTTGACATATAAAATGCATTTATTAGCATAACCCCGTTGCTGTCATTTGCTGAGCGATCCGATGTTTGGCGTGTTGATAAACCGCGGTGTGTGTGAACCGTGGGTGTGACGAGTGTGTGTATGTCCTCACCTCTAGAACATTAGCAGCTCCTGCGGGGCGCTAATGAAGCGTGCTTTAGGACACGATTATTACCTTTGTTAATGCACGGACGCAGACTGAAATGCAGATTGAGTGAGGAGATGCATCAGTGTTTTCTGCGTGCTCGGGGTCCATCGGTTTTGTTGTTGAACATATCTGGCCTTGACCGCTGTGCTGAGATCAGTCCAGTTTCAGTCTCTGCCCGTTTGACCCGTGATTTATGAGCTCTTCTGTTACAGCGAACCGCCAGAAGCTCACCAGAGAGCAGACGAGTGGATCCGCATTCACTGCATGCTTTTACTTCGGATTTAAGGGGAAACATAGAATTGTTTCAGGAGGACAAACTCAAGGATGGAGAATTTCAATAACTGGACTGATTCCCATGAAAAATGGCTGTATGAATGAAGTTTTTAAAGTTTAGAATATAAAGTGGAGTGTATTTATATACAGTACAGGTGATGCGCGAACGCAAGGGTCAGCGACCCAAAGATGGAAATAGTGTCACTTTGACAAACACCCGTTTAGAGTCAGTCAGAGGTCATTATCTTAAACGCTCACCGTTGTTGATTTTCACATGTTTGAGAACCAAATAAGGGCTCAAGTTATGCATTTCAGCGGCGAGATGACGCTCATCCATAAACACATCAGGCATGCTTTTGGACATGTTAGTCTCTTCTGTGATTAACGAGATCAATTCTTGTGTTGCACTATGGAAATATTTGGCACAGAAGAGTTTGAAGCATCTCGGCTCATCTCAGGGAAATGCATTGGTTACACTGTAATTTAAGGTGGCGTAGTTACATACACTCTCAGAAAAAAGGTACAAATGCTGTCACTGGGGCTGTACCTTTTCAAAAGGTACACTTTTGTACCTTAAGGGTGCATATTGGTACCTTAATGGTACATATTAGCACCTAAAGTGACATATCAACACTTAAAATGTACATATTAGTACCTGAAATGTACATATTAGCACCTAAAATGAACATATCAACACTTAAAATGTACATATTAGCACCTAAAATGAACATATCAACACTTAAAATGTACATATTAGCACATAAAATGTACATATTAACACCTAGAATGTACATATTAACTCTTAAAATGTACATATTAGCACATAAAATGTGCATATTAGTAACTAAAATGGACAAAAGTGTACCTTTTGAAAAGGTACAGCCCCAGTGACAGCTTTCGTACCTTTTTTCTGAGAGTGTAGGGTTTGGTTTAGGGTTAGTTACTTGTAATTATGCATAATTTACAGTTATTACTAAACTACATGTACGTTCATTCACCTAATCTCGACCCAAGGTTATTTTTGTTAAAGGTGCAATACCTAAGATTTTTGCATTAAAATATCCCAAAATCACAAGGCCAGTGTTATATATTTAGTAAAGATGATAACTCACAATATTCCAAATGTTTCAAACAATGTTTAAATCGCGAGAAAATTGAGATTTTAACCAAGGAAACGGCACGTGTCAGCAGGGGTGAGCTGGGAGTCGCGAGTCAATCGCGTCATATCCGCTTACCTCGGTTTCCGCTCTTACTACGTGTAGTCCTGGACAAATGCGGTAGTTGTAGTTGTGCGTTAGCGCCTATCAAACGGCAGCTTGTTTCGCGCATTTGTTATGGAATGGAGCACATATATTCTTTTCATTTATTCTCGGAATGTGAACTGTTGGCTGTAAAGGGGGTCGCACACCGGACGAGAAGCGCCGCGTCACGTTTAGGACAACTCCAGTAACGTTATCGAACACCGGACGCGCACTTTCTCATCAGTGTATGGCCAGCAATATTGTTATGTTTAATGACAGAAAATGAAGATAATGTCTGTTCTATGTTATTGTACTGTACAATTAAATACAATCGTTGCTGAGTCTGCATTCTGAAAACTTTACCTCAGAGCATCCGTTCACAGAATGAATTGAGAATCTCACGTGAAAAATCTAATAATAATCAGTAATTGTCATTCAAGCAGCTGATTTCTGTAAATGACTGCAAAACTAAATGCATAGATATTGCAGCATAGGGCAAAGTCAGGATCCATTAGCAACGGTTTGAGGCAAAAATAATTACAATTTTATATAAAACTATGTAAATGGCGCTCTGTGGCGCAGCAGGGTTTTGAACACGGTCCTGAAACGTTGCTGGGCGCCGCGGACAGACGCCGAATGGCGCCGCCGGTATGTGTACACTATAGATAATAATGTGTTCGAATAATTATGTGGTGCAACGCGGCGCTGCAGCTTCTCGTCCGGTGTGCGACCCCCTTAACGTTAATTTTGTGAAACTGTAGCTGTGGTTGAATACTTACACGACATGAAAAGATGTGTCAAATGTACATTGCAGACATCCCAAGTCTCCCGGATCTCCCGCATATTGATAGCGTTTCCCTGATGCCCGCAAATTAGTTCAAATCTCCCGGGATATAATGTTAGAGCGAGACATACTGCGCGCATAACACACAGCGCGCTGCGCGTGCACTGTACAGAGGGAGAGACTTTGCGTTTGTGCCTCGCGAACGCGAAAGTTAGCCTTCCCTCCCACCCCCACAATCTTGTTATCGAAATATACCTCCGGAAATGAATTCTTGCAGTTGGGATAACTGACATTAAATTGATTTTTTATTTTTATAAAGTTACCAAGGAGGGCCAACCACGTCAACTCCTTGCGAGAGACCTGCCCCTTCAAACCCTCTCCACCATAGCTTCGTCCAGTGACTCGTACAGTAACATCTGTGATAACTAATTTACTTTTAAACCTGACTTTTCTTGCACGGTTATTTCAGTTTAATGAAATACAAGCATGTCATTAAACGCAACGTTTATAGAAATCGAACTTTACCTCATCCATGACAACTAATTTTCGATTCCCGTCTGACTGATTTATCCACGGTGGAGTTGAAAACAACAGTTCCCATCATTCCGCGTTCCTCCACGGCGTCATCAAGCAAAGCCGTTGTTGTTGTTTTGAATGTAGCGCCCTCTAGCGGCATCTAGATCTTAGGTATTGCACCTTTAACTAAAACTTCAACTAAAACCATTTTCATTAGATGAAACACTAAAAATAAAATAATATGTAAAAAAAAAACAACTTTGCATTTTTACATAGTTTAATTTGAAGTACTAAAATAAAACTTCAAACAAATAAATGAAAAATATAGACATGTTTAAAAAATGCTGTTAGATGACACAAAAGAAAATAAATGTTACCTGAATTAAAATAAAATATTTAAAAATGTAACTTTTATTGTAGGTAGTTGCCAAGACAACTTTAGTTTAAATAAAATAAGCAAAATACAGAAATACCATAAAGTAAAATTATTAAAATGATTTTATTTCAACTAATTTTCATTTAGTTTAACTTGAAGTAGGCCTACTAAAGTAACTAAAACTTATATATATATATATATATATATATATATATATATATATATATATATAAAACAAATTTCATTAGCTGAAACAAAATAAACAAAATTATTTTTTTAAAATATTTTTTTTTTAATTTTTTATAAATTTACAAAATATTTTATCTTAGATAAAATATATAAAAATGCCAAAGTAACAAGCAGTACAATTTTGCAACCTTTAACAAAAATAAAAGCTAAACTACCAGAATTACAAATCTAATTCAAAATATTAACAAAAACTACAATAGTAGTAGGCTAAAATAACCACTCTGAGCAATTTATGAGCACGATCTCATCTTAACTCTAATCATTTCAACACAAATAATCCATGCATCAGTCCTAAAGCCCAATTGAGTTAATTCTGTGTTTGTGTTGTTAATGTGTGATGTGTTTTTAAGCATTAATATGAATGTAACAGAATGAACAGAATTCAAATCGTAATGTTATTTTTTCTCCCGAAAATTGATATTGTACTTATATCTGACCACACACACACACACACACTCATATCCCACTGATTTTTTAAAGCATAGCCCCGCCACTGGTTCTAACTCATTTGTGTCTGTGTGTGCTGCAGGTTTCAGCGTGGAGACTATCACATCGACGTGTGTATAAACGACTACCTGGACGTGTACTGTCCGCACTACGAGGACTCGGTCCCCGAGGAGCGAGCCGAGCGCTACGTGCTCTACATGGTGAACTACGACGGCTACAGCACGTGTGACCACACCGCCAAGGGCTTCAAGCGCTGGGAGTGCAACCGGCCGCACTCGCCCAACGGCCCGCTCAAGTTCTCCGAGAAGTTCCAGCTCTTCACTCCCTTCTCGCTGGGCTTCGAGTTCAGGCCGGGCCGAGAGTATTATTACATATGTGAGTGTGACATCACTGGACACTGAACACCACAGGCTGAAATCTGGCTAAAAAATATGAGAACACATGATTTTTAAAATCATTTTATTAGTAAAATTGGAAGGTTGGATAGACGTGCAGATCATGTCTATATTGGGTCCGTCGGTCCATGACCAATTCTAGACGTTTATTTGACGTACAAACTAGGTCCAATTTTTTTAACACCATAATGTTTTGTTTTTTTTCTCACTTTAAATTGTTAACTTTTAGGGAATTAATTAGATTAATTATTACTCTATTCTAATGTGTTACATTGAATTGATAATATTGCTGGTAATCTGTTGCCACAATTTTTTTTTTTGATTAGATAAAGCGCATTAATTTTTACAGTGTATTTTCACTTAAATTTAAGATTAATTTACTCAAGATAAGCTCAATTTATTTTGCACTGTATTAAAACAAATAATTATTTAATATAAAATTATATTAATTTAATTATTTATAATTATTAATTATATTAATTATATGAATTTTATTAACAGTTTTGTACACTGTAAAAAAATATTGATGGTTTAACTTAAAAAAGTAAGTAACCTGGTTGCCTTAAAATTTTAAGTTCATTAAACTAGAAAAAGTGAGTTAATACAATGAAGGAGATTGATTTAACCATCAGAAACTCAAAATTATATGTTATCTGAACTAAATAAATTATTTAAGTTGATTTGACAAAAGAAAAAAATGTTGTGATAACTACACTGTGAAATTTTTTTGTTGGTTTAACTTAAAGTAAGTAACCTGGTTGTCTTAAAATTTTAAGTTGATTGAACTGGAAAAAGTGAGTTAATACAATGAAGGAGATTAATTTAACCATCAGAAACTCAAAATAATAAGTTATCTCAACTAAATAAATTATTATAAAGTTGATTTGACAAAAGAAAATATGTTGTGATAACAAATCTTGAAAATATTTTTTACAGTGTACTAGCTACTTTTTTTGGGGGGGGGGGCAAACATGTTTGAAAACTCTTTAATGCAGAAGAAATAACACACTTCTCCCGTGTGCTTTCCAGAAAGTCAAACAGCAAAGGCAACACTAACACTAAGATAACGGTTTGATTCCCGGATGTAAACGTACGCCATCAGCGCATGCATACACGTGTCACATGCACCAATGATTTTCCTGCTTTTAAAATGACCGTTTTAAAGTTTGTTATGAGGGTTTCAGGATCAGATAAATGTTTGCTCTCCGTTTTCGTAACACGCTATACAGTAATACGGCCAGAAAACCTGTCAACCCAGGTGTGTTTTGCATTTTGCACTCAATCGAGGTTTATGTGTTTAGGCCTGCATGTTTCAATTCAATTTCAGCTTCAACAGCTAATAAAACTTTATTTCCCTCACTGTCTGTCAGTGACAAAGCCCATAAGAAAATGCCATATTTTCTCTTGTTGAGATTCATTTTCAAGGACAGCATAAACAATCCAGGGAGGACAGAAATCAATATGAATCGATTTTTTTTTTTTTTAAGAAAATGAAATTTGAGCGTTTCGCTGAAGGACACCTGTCTACAAGGTGAGATGAAAATACAGGCAAACCTCATTAGTTTTCTCTCATAACGTTCCTGCAGGACCTTCCCATCGCCAGCGTGTCCCGAGGCCTCGTTACACCGAGAGCCGTTATTATGTGCTTGACTAGCCGGTGCTGCTGAGAACGTGAAACTCATAGAGCATATCCTTCTCCTCACGAGTCCATCATCCTCCTCTCGGTCCCGAGCCAACATCTGTGAAATGCGTTTGCCCTCTCCGGCTGATTGTGCGTCTCACTCCACGGATCCGTCTGTCCGCGCGCCAGCTTTTGTCTCTCCGGTGAACATGGTAATTAATATACATCATGACAGTCATATTGAGCATTATTCCAAACAGAAAGTCAAAGCTGGAGCTTTTAGATGCCATATTTCACGCTATTATTATCTGTGTGAACTAAGAAAGGTGATTTCACAATAGATGTCAGCTTTCTCTGGCAGGAATATTTAAGGAAATGTTCAATTAAAAAGCTTTCATTTTGACTAACTGTCCAATTTCATTGTAATAGTGTTTTATATCATGCTGACATGCGTATTTAATAATTAAGTTATTCAACAGATTGATTGCGCTTGCATTCACTGAACGTTTAATTGGTCACATCACCTTTTTTTACTTGACTTTGACCTTTGGGGTCAGAGAAAAAAGATTTCAAAACCTGCTGGAAGATGAAAAAAAAGTATTTTTTGTCCCATTGATGGCCATTCAAAAATGATATGTTGCAAGCATCAAATAAATATATATTTTTTTTATGTTTGTTTATTATTTTATTTTTTTAATTATAAAAAATATATAATTGTATTTTTATTTTTTTATTTTTTCATTTTTATTTTATTTGGCTGCATAAAAGAAAAAAAATTATATATATATATATATATATATATATATATATATATATATTTCTATGTTGCTTTCAACATATTTTTGATTGGCTGTCAATGGAGAAAGATGCTCCATTTACAGCCAATCAAAAATGATATGTTGAAAGCAACATAGAAATAAAATTTTTTATGTCTGTTTATTTTATTTTATTTTATTTTGGCTGTGTAAAAGCATATTTCTCCATTGACAGCCAATCTAAAATGATATATATAATTATAATATGAATTTACAATTATAAATAATATTGTTCACATATTGCCAGGGTTTCATTTTATTTATTTTTTATTAAAAATATTATTAATATATTTTAGGGTAAGGCTCATCAAATTTTAAAATTAATTTGATTGGTTTGGGACTAATAGTCAAGACACATTTATTTCTATAGGGCTTTATACAGATTGTTTCAAAGCAGCTTCACACTAATAAAACAGTAAAATAAGTCATGATTCAGATCATTTCAGTTCAATGTTGATTATAACTGTGTCAATGTTGCAAAGCGCCTTGTTGGTGGACACACCAAGAGAAACGAATAACAAATACATGTCATGCAATAGTGAAAAGTATAAAAAACTAGTTCAATGAAATGAATTTGGATTATTTTAGAGTATTTCTGGATCAATCACAGCACACTAGTTTAGCCAATCTTGAATGTGTGTTTTCATGGAGTGAATAATCAGAAAGCAGAAGCTGACTGGTCCAGGATCAGTGTGATTACAGAAGCTTCAGGCGGTGGTGATCCGTCTCTGGAGATAGTGACGTTCCTGAATCAGTGGTAAAGGTTAACGCTGATAACGTCTCAGACAAAAGCTATCGGCTCTCTGTGATTACGGACATTTCTCTCCAACGCTGACTGACATTATCACATCAGACGTCACGAGTCTAATCGCATCAGTTCAAAGAGGACTTTTAGTGGTTCTCTTAACTGATTTATAGTCTTGTGAAGTGGCCATACACAGCTAAAATGATTTTATTAATTTGAGTTTTGGTGTTGTTTTACAGCACAAATATCTAAAAATCTTTAAATCAGTGGCTAGCTGCATAAACTTAGCCAATTTTATTAAGATGGTGTACTCTTAAGATCTAGTATGACCCACTAGCAGTTGGTCAAGGGATGGTTCGTCTTACTTTTTAGTATCAAATTAGGCCAATGTACGTTTTTACTTTGAAAGTTATGACTAGTCTTAAAGGAGTAGTTCTGATAATTTACTCACCCCCATGTCATCCAAGATGTCCATGTCTTTCTTTCTTCAGTCGAAAAGAAATGAAGGTTTTTGATGAAAACATTCCAGGATTTTCTCCATATAATGGACTTCAATGGGGTCCAAACGGTTCAAGGTCTGAATGAGAGTTTCAGTGCAGCTTCAAAGGGCTTTAAACGACACCAGACGATGAATAAGGGTCTTATCTAGCGAAACGAGAGCACGTTTAAAAAATAAATAAAAAAGTTTACGTTTTATAAGCACAAATGCTCACCTTGCTCTGAAAATGATTTTTTTTTCGAGTCATCTGGTTCATTCAACAAACGAAATGACTGGAAAAAAGATTTGTTCATTTTAATGAACGAGTTGGAACAGGAGAGTCACGAACGCTCATCACAGAACAGAGCAAGGCGAGCATTTGAGCTTATAAAACTTAAACTTTTGTATTTATTTATTAGATGAACGATACTCTCATTTGTACCTTGAACCGTTTGGACCACCAAAAAAGACCATTTGACTGACTTGTAAATAAATTAATCACGGTATTTTTTGATTGCTTGTGGCATTTAGTGGGTATATGATTATAAATAAGTAAAATAGAGTGCAGTAAAAATAGTTTTTTAGTCGAAAAATGAGTAGAACTAAACTGTGGACTTAAATACAACGAACTGAACAAGAAACAGGTGCGCAAAACAATTAGGTAACCATGACGACAAACAATGAATGAGAACAAGCTAAAAACTAAATATAACCCCTATAGTTTCTTTGTAACTGTATACTAGCTCTTTCTGAGTGAAAATGAAGTGCTAATGCAAATTTGATTCAGTGTATGATTAAAAGCAGGTTTGTGAACGACAGATTTAATGTGAAGCAGCCTGTGTGTGTTTGAGGTGTGTGTAGTACAAAGATAACATCAAACACTCCTATTTCCTCAGAGATTTGTTGTTCAATCACATGACGAATTTGTCTGCCAGCATTAGAGTTTGTTGGAAATGTGGCCGCTTGCGAGATGAAATCGCCCCAGTCATGTGTGTTCTTTCAGCGGGGTCAAAGGTCATCTGGACCTCTTGTGTTCCTCTGCTGTTATCCTCTCGAGCAGGTTAATCGACACATGAGGTCAAATCAAACCCGGGGTGTAATTCATCATGCTTTTCTCTGTCAGCTCTCTCGGCGTACCAACAGTAAGGGAAGGATTTCTTATCTCGGACACTGCGAAAATGACTTTCTTCCTCAGTCTTGTTTTCCAGCACAAACATCTAAACATGATTAAATCCAGATGTATTTTCTGGAGAAGAAGCAAAACGACATATTTAAGGGTTGTTCACACTAAGAATGATGACTATAACAATAACTATATTAG